TATTATATGAAATGCTGAAGGGTATTCTTTAAGAAGAAGAAGAAGAAGAAGAAGAAGAAGAAGAAGAAAAAGGTAAAGATAAAAAATTATGAACAACAAAGTGACAACAAATACATATCTATCAACAAGTGAATCTAAAAATCAAATGAATAAAAAAATCTGATGAACAGAATAAATTAGTGAATGTAATAGAATCAGGGGCATGGAAATGGAGCAGACCGACAATTCTCAGGGTGAAGGGGGTGTGGACGGGGGTGCGGAAAGAGATTGGACAAAGATCTTTTTTTTTTTTTAATCTTTATTGTTCAGATTATTACAGTTCCTCCTTTTGGTACGCTTGAAGCTGTCCCAGAGGCTCCTTACACTATCTTCCTATTTTTGGATTCTTTTTTCTTTTTGCTTTTCCAGTTGGGTGTTTTTTAGTTCTTTGTATTTCAGATCTTTGACTTGATTCTTGGGATCCTCTTGTCTGCTGTTGGATCTCTGTATATTATTCTTTATTTCAGTCAGTGTATGCTTAATTTCTAGTTGGTCCTTTTTCCTATCCTCGAGGGTCTCACTAGATTTCTTGAGGGTTTCTAGAAAATTCTTGAAAAACCTTAAAAATGTGGTTTTGAACTCTATATCCAGTAGTTTGTTTTCCTCCATTTCTGTCATTTGTGACCTGTTTCTTTGTCTCCGCATTTTTTATGCTTCCCTGTGTTGGTAGAGTGGCTTTGTGTGTTAGGTGTCCTATAGGGCCCACTGGCTCAGCCTCCCCAATTACCTGGGGTGGACACTCCTGGTGCACCCCTTTGTAGGCTGTGTGCACAGCCTTGTTGTAGTGAGGCCTTGATTGTTGTAGGTATCACTGGGAGGATATGACCTCCAGGCCAATTGTCTGTGAGAATCAGCTGTGTCTATAGTGGGAGAACTTCTGTCCTGAAGACACCCTTCTGGGGCAAGACTTGCTTCAGTGGGGCTTTGGTGCTCACTGAGTCTGCCCCCTGAGTGTGTCCCTTATGGATCTGAGGAGTTGTAATCTGGATGGTCCCACTCTGACCACTGGGTACACAGTCTCTTGGATCTCTAAGGAGGTGCTAATTTAGCCTCTGCCTGAGGCTACACAGCAGGAGCTATGGAGAGATCTGTAGGTTCCTCTTCCTTGTTTGGGTTTTGGAGGTGCCCAGATGAGGCCCAGCTGTGAAGCAATGCAAGCTGCTGTGGGGTCTTGGGCCTTCTTTTGGATGTTCTGGGTCTTTCTGACCCAGCTGCAGTTTGTTAGGTAATTTTAGATCTCAAAGGGCCAGCCCATTCATATGCTGGGGTCCAACCCCAGCAGGTCCAGGGGTCCCCAAAGGTGTGGATGGAGTTGGTGAAGAAGGAATGACATGGAGACAACATTCAGTTGATCAGCAGCCTAGCCAGGATCTCTAGCCAAGTTCTGGCGTTTATTGTCTTGTTACATCTGTATTTATAGCAGTTGATTTTAATCCTGTCAGTTTGTATTGCAAAGGTTAGGGCGTTTCTTATCTCCATTCCAGGGAGTAAAGATTATGTAGCTTAAGCATGATTGTTTGCAGTTAAAGTGATTAACTACCCGCCTGGCACTTAGTTAAGGGGTTTTATCCCCTCCCTAACTTCAGGGAAAAATCCCTACCTGGGGAAACAACCTTTCTTGGAGAGGTGACCTTGGTTAAAACACATAGCACCAAGAAGGGGAGCAAACCTATTAAGAACAGTTATGCCATATACGCCAGGTCCCTTGAGACATATGCTGTGCAGATGTTTCTTCCCAGCAGCAACTGTGTCAAGCAGCAAGGATGGACCGGCTTCTGGCATTCATATGCAAAAGCCTCTGCGCACAGCTTGGGTGGGGCGAGGTCTCAGGGAATCAACAGGGTAGAGCAAACAGCTATGGCTGAACCTCAGTCCTGCCCTAAGAGGTCCCCGGTCTCAGTGTCCTGGTAATCACTGCAAGCACCTCTGATAGAAAGCTGCCCTCAAGCTCCACCCGCTGCCAGACAGTCCAGTTTCTCCCCGTATGAGTCTGGGTCCCCAGAGACTCGCCCGGAACTGGAGTCAGGGCCGTTGGGAGCTTGTGCCTCCCTCCCGATTGCAAAAGACACCGGCGTCCTCCGTTGCCAGCCTCTTTCCTCGCATGCTCGAGCCTCCGTACCTCTGCACTTTACTTCCACAGCTCCTCTGAGTCTCAGTGTGCTTTTCTCTTTCCTTCTAGTTGTAGAATTTCCACTCATCCAGCCTTCCTGTGGTTCTGGATGATGTCTGTTTTGTCTTTTAGTTGTATTTTTGAAGTGGTTGTGCGAGGCAGCAATTTCAGGTGTTTACCTATGCCGCCATCTTGGTTTCTCTCCTTGGACAAAGATCTTATATGCATGTATGCAGTACCTGTGGACGCGGACAGTGGGTGACAAGGGCCTGGGTGGGGTGGGATCTGGATGGAGGGGAACTATGGGGGGGAAAAGAGAACATCTGAAATAATCTGAACAATAAAGATTACAAAAAAATTTATGGGAGGAAAAAACAAAAAGAAAGAAAATAAATTTGCTACCATATAAACACATACCTACTTAGATGGAGAGACAGAGACAAACACTATGTCAAAACTAATTAAAATATGATTTTTACATGACCCATTCTTATAAGGTTATTGATACCATTAAATACCTACCCACCCACCCTTTTTTTTTGTTAATCCTCACCCAAGGATATTTTTTCCATTGACTTTTAGAGAGAGTATAAGGGGGAGGGGTGGAGAGGGAGAGAGAGAAAAGCATCAATGTGTCTTGAGATAAATCGATTGGTTGCCTCCCTCAACCTCCCTGGCCAATGCTGTGGATAAAACCTGCAACCCAGGTATGTGCCCTGACCAGGAATCAAACCTGTGACCCTCTTTTTTTTTTTTCCAGTGATATTTCCATTTATTTAATTTTTAGAAATAAAAATTGTGTCTATCTCATTCATGATTTTGCTTTAAAATTAATAGGCACTATTGAAGAAATAATGGTTTATTTTTCTAATCAAGTGATTAAGCTCCTGAATCATAAGGCCTCAACAAATGTTGCATCTTACATATTGATTGGACAATAAGACCTTCTATTTTGTTTATCCCTGGTAAATAGCAATTTTGTTTCTCCAGTGGTTTCCATTTGCCAGTCATGACAGATGGTTAACATGGTGGCTACTGCTTTCAGGGGATTCTATTAGATAAATCCTCACTTCTAGTGCAAAGCTATTGGCAACCTTTCAGGGAAAGTCCACCCCTCAGGACGTCTCTATCGTGGCTGGCCAAGGAGTCCTGCTTTGGCTGCCAGGGCTTCATTCTGCTGAATATGATTTTCCTGAAATCTCATGGATATTCTTTGCATCATTTTTAAATATTTCTGTAAGCAATGTTCTGAACAGGTGGTCTCTTCAGGTTTTACTTCTCTTGTTGTGAAGACTTTAACACAGTCCAAAAAGCAGGTTTCTGTAAGTTTATTGTAGGTTCCAAGAAATTCTTTAAACGGTTTTATCTGATCAGATTCTGGAATTTGTGCAGCCATATGTTTCGGTACCTTTATGAGAAACACAGGCCAAGGCAAATCCTTTTTTGTTTTTTTTAAATAGTAATCAAAAGTAGTCTATATATATTAGATGCTTTTCATTCATTCTGTATTGTTAAGGATTCTGAAAAATTAGTTATTACATTATACTGGGGTATCATGGAATTCTTTTATCAGTCCCTTTCTTTTTTTTAAATATATTTTTATTGATTTCAGATAGGAAGGGAGAGGAGAGAGAAATAGAAACATCAATGTTGAGAATCATTGATCAGCTGCCTCCTGCACTCCTAGTGGGGATCGAGCCTGCAACCCTGGCATGTGCCCTGACCATAATCGAACCATGACTTCCTGGTTCATAGATTGACATTAAACCACTGAGCCACACCAGCTTGGCATATCAGTCATTTTCTTTTTTTTTTTTTTTTAAATATTTTATTGATTTTTTACAGAGAGGAAGGGAGAGAGATAGAGAGTTAGAAACATCGATGAGAGAGAAACATCGATCAGCTGCCTCCTGCACATCTCCTACCGGGGATGTGCCCGCAACCCAGGTACATGCCCTTGACCGGAATCGAACCCGGGACCCTTCAGTCCGCAGGCCGATGCTCTATCCACTGAGCCAAACCGGTTTCGGCCATTTTCTTAATTAATTTTTATTTTCATGGTATTTTCTGGAAATGCCCTTTAATGTAAATGACAGTAACCAGATTTCATATTGTTGAATGACTATAACTATCTATTATTGAGCATAAGATTCCAAACAGCTGATTGGGAGATTTGCAGTTTCTCTTCTAGAATCCTTTCAACATTAGACTCTCCCTTTGAGGTGTAGATGTTGTTTCATTTTAACTGAAGAAAGTGAGGTTCTGAAATATTAAATACCTTAACAGACAGAGTCAAGATGTATAAATCCAAAATCTTATTCTCTTTTCTACCAACTCCTGGCTCCCAAAAAGAATTAAGCCCCGATTTGACTTTGTGGGTTTTTTTATCTTCAAGTTTTTAATCTACATTCATTTTGAAAATTTATTTTCCTGATTTCCATTATTTCACTTATTTTTTAGGATTAGCTCAACTTTGTTTATAAAAAACGTTTTTATTTCACCATATTTGTTCATCCAACAGTTCTTTAGTTTTCTTTAAATGTTTTTCTAGAACTTGTCTTTGCCTGTTTACTTGATTATCATCTTGAAACATACTTTACAAATATAGAAATTGAGTTATAAGAAGAGGAATGATCCAGCAGCAGATACTTAAGTGGATACAACTGTTTCTATAAAATGGTTTCTTTCTTTTTTATTGAAATTTTGGGTTTTATTGTGCATATGTATTACTTTGGGGAGAGGTAGTGGGAGTAGTTTATTTTATTTTTCTTCTAAAATTAAAATTATATGAATATTTCTATTTTAAAGATAATTCCTAAATCAAAGTGCATAATTTTTCTTTTACACTTAGAAAAATGAGAGTCGTCAACTTACTCAGATCCAGTACACAGCCTGGCCTGACCATGGTGTCCCTGATGATTCCAGTGACTTTCTGGATTTTGTTTGTCACGTACGAAATAAGAGGGCCGGCAAGGAAGAACCTGTTGTTGTTCATTGCAGGTATTCTATTTTCTGTCTTCTATGCTTAAATAGCTGACATTTTTAAAGGGGAGTGTGTATTTTATTTTGTTCTTAAGTTGTAACTTTTACTATAATTAGAAGGAACTCACAAGTGTGCTCTGAAGGTAGAAAGCAAAGGGTATGTTCCAATATGATTGGCAGAAAGTTTATAATAAGAAGTAAAAATACTTTATTGCACTGACTGTTAGAAGCTTGTCATTTTTACAGTTTAACATCTCTGAAAATGGGATTTGTTATACGATTGATGGTATCTTAGACTTGATGAAATACAATAATGTAGGCATTAGATTTAGTTTTCCCCCTCCCAGCAAGGTACTCCTTGCTGGCCTATGGCCCCTCTCAGCACATTTGCTGAGCTCTCTCACCTCTCTTGGAATGGCCCTATCTACCCAATACCATCACGGGATAAGTCCTCCTGTTGTAATTGATTTTTGATTGCTATTGGCCCATTCATGTGTGGGATCACCCCTCAGGCTGACTGACTGTGAAGATCAACCCTAACCACAGTGTATGGGCTGCCAGCAGGTGCTGACCACATGAAGTAGAGTTCACCTCAGCAGGGTTTGCTGCCTGCCAAGACCTAGTTTGGATATGCTACTTATGAAGCTAATTGAATCCTGCTCTGGTGTTGTCTGAAGCTGGCTGAGTGAAGGGAAGGTGTGCACCAGTCGAGTATATGAGGGGAAATTTTCCTCTTTCCTAGACCCATTGCAACTCAGTCTGCCCCAGATTCTGCCAGGAGCCTGATCTCAGCAGGAAGGGGCCACTGGGAGTCAGGAGATGGGGGTGGTGCTGTTCAGGTTTGGGGGAAGTTGGAGGGTTTGGCCCCTACCCCAGAGCCACACAGTTCAGACTGTCCTGGATTCTGACCAGACCTCAGCAGAGTGGAACCACCAAGAGTCAAGAGGGTGGGAACTCCAGGAGCTTAGAGAGTGGGGCTAGAGGATCTACCGTGAGGGGAAGGTGCTGATCAGGATCGCAGGAAAGGGTGGAGGGAATGGCCCCCACCCCTAAGAGATACAACTCAATCACTGACATCCCTTGAATTGGCCAGACCTCTAATGGCCCAAGCCATTGAATCCTTAGCAGAGCAGAAGCTCCGTAGAGTGGTTCAACAGGAAGACCAGAGGGTGGGGCAATTGCTTCCCCCAAGCTGATGCTGCATGGAGAGGCATGTTCCACCCAAGAAAGATGGTGTCTGCGTGCGGTACAGTGACTTAGCACAGGGGATCCTAGCAATTGTTCCCTCAGCTCTGTCCCCAGAGCCACAAACCCCAGTCTCTCCTCACATGACTCATCTGTTTTTCCCTCCCTAGGTGTGTGGCCAGAGCTAGGGTGAGTGGCTATAAACAAAATTATGCATGTTGGCCCTTTAAGACAGCTCCTGAGTTTTTAGGGGACTTCATCTCTCCCTGGTGGAAACAGAAATCCCGCTGCCATTCACAACCAGATGTTATGTGTACGCCTCTTCCAGGCTCTGGTGCTTTGGGCTGGAGAGCCAGGGTTGGACTTGAGATCCCACGCTTATCAGGGGAAATACCCTGCAGCTGAGATATTTCTCCAGAACCTCAGCCACTGCCTGTGGGATTGGGGCCAGCCCTTTCACACCTCCACACTTCCTACCAGTCTCCATTGGCTGCTTCTGTAAATCTTTGGTTATAAGCCTTCTATTCAGCTAGTCTTCAGTTGGTGACTCAGGTTATAATTCTGTATTTTAGTTCTACTTCCAATTAGGTCCTGGGTGTATCTTCTACTTACTCCATTGCCATCTTGGATCCCTTCCTCTATTATTTTTCATTTTAAAGTGGAGTTGCTCCAATAAGCTTTTATATCTTGTTCATATTTTAAAAACTGAAATGTAACTTTTAAAATAGTATTTTTTACAGCTAATTATGGGGGATAGTGTTGATATAAACCATTTTAATCTGTATTGTGTGAGATTTTTGTCAATTTTGAAAATATTTCTAGTTGGCTTGCTACTTTCATGATATTAAACAAAAATCAAATTGTTCTGTTTTATGATTCGAAACTTTAATTTTCTGCACAAAATCCACGAAGTTTAACAGAACAGTATCAGTAATACCTTGCCCCATATTTGCCTTTTTCAGTGCTGGGATTGGAAGAACTGGGGTTCTGATTACTATGGAAACAGCCATGTGTCTCATTGAATGCAACCAACCAGTTTATCCACTAGACATTGTAAGAACAATGAGAGATCAACGAGCCATGATGATCCAGACACCTGTAAGTACTGTGCTTCATGCATTCTCAACATGATGATTTTTGTTATCAGTGTATATTCTAAACCAGATTCATAGCTTCTTAATATCCTGCCAGGAGCAAATAACTCCTAACAAAGGAGTTTGTCAAATACTGCTTGTGAGCCAAGTCTGGCCTTCCACTTGTTTTTGTAAATAGAGTTTTATTGGAATATAGCCATGCTCATTTGTTTATATATTACTTATGCCTGCTTTCACACTATAATAGCAAAGTTGAGAAGTTGCAACAGACACCATATGTTCTGAAAAACCTAAAATATTTACTATCTGGTCTTTTACAGAAAATGTTTGTCAATGCCACTGTAGCATGATAATTTTTGAATGTTTAGACAGGCTCAGAGGAACTTGCCCTGTATTACTTAGTCAAGGGGAATGCTGAGAATGAGAGTGTCCCTGACCTAGAGACTCTTGATAGACCTGCTCTGTGACACAGCTGTGGCAAAATGCCTTTCTCTTTTATATAAGAACTTAAATTGCAACAAGAAAAATCATAGAAATTCCACACTGACTCTGAATAATGTTTCAAGATCACAGGGGAATCATGGGGTTTTAGAGTTAATGTTAAGATAACTTTTTATAGTAAGCCATTGTGGAATGTTAGCATTAAACTTACTGAAGTGAATTGACATATATGACCTAGTAAGTGCCTTTTTTTTAACCTTTAAATTATAAAAAAATTTCCAATATACACAAGTAGACAATATAATTAACACTACTAGTATGTTGAGTACTCAGGTCCAGCAACATTTGCCATATTGTTTAATCTATACTGCCACCTACTCTCCATATTTGAAGCAAATCTAGACGTCATATAATTTTGTCTATAAATATTTTAATATGTATCCCAAATAGATAAGAACTATTTTTCCTTCTAAACAAAATCACAATACCAGTATCACATCCAAGTATAATAACAAGTAATTCCTTAATATTATCAAATAACAGTATTCAAACTTCCAGTTGTCTCATATAGTTAATGATTTTTAAATTTTAGAATTAACTGTATTGAAATGTAATTCACATACCATAAAATTTACCTTTTTAAAGTTTACACTTCAATTGTTTTTAGTATATCACAGTTTTACAACCTTCATTACTATCTGATTTTAGAATGTTTCATCACCCCAAAAAGAAACTCTATACTTATCTTCCTTCATACCTTCCCCAATCTCCCCTGGCCCAGCCCTAGGCACCCACTCATCTACTTTGTCTCTATAAGTTTACTATTCTGGACCTTTCATATGAAGGAATCATATAGTTTGGTCTTTGTAATTGGATTCTTTTAATTAGCATAATATATAAAGGGTTTGTGAAAATGCCCTTTAGCAAGTTGACAAAGTTTCCTCTGTTACAAGACTGTTGAGTATTTCATCATGAAAAGGTATTCAATTTTGTCAAATGCTTTTTCTGGGTCTATTGAGATGATCATGTGGATTTTGTATTTCATTTTATTACTGTCTATTACATTGATTGATTTTTGGATATTAAACTAACCTTTCATTTCTGGGATAAATCTTACTTGAAGATAGTGTATAATTCTTTTAATATGTTGCTTCATTTGTTTTTCTAGTATTTTCTAGAGGTTTTTGTATCTATATTCACACATAATGGATTTTTTTATTTTTAATTGTGGTAAAGTACACAACATAAAACTTAACAATTTTTAAGTGTACAGTTCGGTAGCCTTAAGTATATTCACACTACTATAGCCAATCTCTAAAATTTTTCATCTTGCAAACTAAAACTCTACCCCTTAAACAACAACTTGTCATCCCCTCTCCTCCCAGTCCCTGGTAACCACCATCTTACTTTCTGTTTTTATGAATTTGACTTTCTAGATACCTCATATACGTACAATCGTATAGGTTTTATCTTTTTGTAATTGGCTTATTTCACTTAGCATAATATCTTTGAGGTTCATCCAGTTTTTAGCATGTGTCAGAATTTCCTTTCTTTTAAGGCTAAAAATACTTCATTGTGTGTATAGACCACAGTTTGTTTATTCTCTGACCTGTCAATGGGCATTTGGGTTGTTTCCACCTCTTGGTGATTGCAAATAATGCTGTTATGCACATGGATGTACATGCATATCTCTTTGAGACGCTGCTTTCAATTTTTTTGAATATATGCATGGAAGTCAAATTGCTGGATCATACCATACTTAATGAGTTTTGTTTTTGCATTGTATGTAAAATCAGGTTTCAGATGTGGTTCACACATTTTGATTAGTTTATATGTCTCCAAAATCTTTTAATGTATAGCTTCCACAAACATCTTTTTTCTTGTTTCTTACCATTTATTTGATGACCAAGTCAGGTGGTTTGTGCTACATAGTTTCCCACTGTAAACCCTCATTTGCTGACCTCAGTTTAACGGACCTCAGATTTAACAGACAAAATTTCCAGTCCATATGTCATATGTGAAAATTAACATCCTATTAATTTTAAAATGCTTTTAACCAAGATTTGCTTATAATAAGTTTTTTGTTAGTAATTCACTGTTTTTACAAATTTTAGTGAATAAACCATATGTTGGAAAAAGCACTAGTAATTTCACTAACATAAGTAAATATTACATATCTACAACTGTAGTCTACATATTTAAATCTAAGAGTCACTGCTCATGAACAGTGTTCAGCGAGTGATTAGCATGTGATCACACCACATTGCTCATGGTAATTGGTTATGTTGTCATTGGACATTCTGCAGCAGTTCTTATTTGTTTTTGTGTTTTAGTTTTTTGTTAATCCTCACCCAAGGATATTTTTCCATTAATTTTTAGAGAGAATGGAAGGGAGGGGGAGAAACACAGAGAGAGAAACATCAATGTGAGAGAGACACAGTGATTGGTTGCCTGCCACACACGCTCTGACCAGGGCCAGGGATTGAGCCTGCAGCCAAGGTATGTGCCTTGACTCTAATCAAACCCGGGTTCCTTCAGTCTGCAGGCTGACGCTCTATCCACTGAGCCAAACCAGCCAGGGCTTCTGCAGCAGTTTTAACTTAAGCCCCTATGTTCCCACTTACACTAAGCTACACTCTAGATGTGGTCATTTGTTTACTCAAGGTGACTGGTAGATGCATGCACTTATAGACCTATTCAGTATAAATTTAACAATTACTGTAATATAGAAATACGTATAGAAAACTTCTGTGAAATTAAACTTTTCATACACACTTATTTTTAATTACACAAACATGTCTACGTAAGTAAAAACAGGTTAACTAATTTGTCAAATTTTTAACATACACATTCAGAAAACATACTTTATCATATAACAGACTTTCAGCTTTAACGGAAACTCCCTCGCCCAAATTAGTCTGTTTTGTCAAGGTTTCACTGCATTTTCTAGAAGTGGTAACTGTATCTATATGCTTGAACAGCTTAGATGGTATTATCTTCTTCCTATAAGAGGCCCATAATGTCTGTGGTTTTTTTGTGTGATGTTAGCAGCATTCATTGGGCTTTCTAAATGATAGCATTCTGTTCTTCCTTACTTATTAATGGCTGGAATCCTTTTTTAAGGAGGAACTTGTCATCAGCTATTTGGTTAACCAGTGGTACTATCTATATAGTAAAGGCAAGATAAACACTTGATGCTTTCCCTTTATTTGTAAAGTTTTTAATATAATTAGTTGGTTCACTTCCCTCTCCCAATGGTTACCACTTACTTTGTCTGTTTTGGTATTATTTTTAAATCATGGATCTGTACATATGTGATGTTTCAATCCATTGTAGTTATTTTTCTTAACAATGCCTAAATTGTTCTATTTGGGGCCAGGCAGCCCTCGGGACATGTCCACTTGCCAGCAGGGAGCAGTGGGAGCAGAACCCTATTCAGCTTAGCTCCTGGGCCTTTCTGTCAAGACCCTAGTAACTTAGATAGCTTCCTTATCTATATACTAGAGGCCCGGTGCATGAAAATTCGTGCACTCAGGGGGGTCCCTCAGCCCAGCCGGCATCCTCTCACAGTCCGGGACCCCTCGGGGGAGCGGGACTAAGCCACAGTCGGACAAACTTAGCACTGCCAAGGAGACAGGAGAGGCTCCCTCCACCCCGCTGCACTCGCAGCCTTCAGCCCAGCTTATGGCTGAGTGGAGCTCCCCCTGTGGAAGCTCACTGACCACGAGGGGGCAGCTCTTGCATTGAGCGTCTGCCCCCTGGTGGTCAGTGCACATCATAGCAACCAGTCATTCCTGGTAGTTCCGCCCTTGGGGTCAATTTGCACATTACCCTTTTATTATCCTATCTAATAAAAGACAAAAAGAGTAATTAACTGTACCTCCGCTACGCTTCCCATTGGCTAATCAGCAAGATATTCAAATTAACTGCCAACCAAGATGCAGGCCAGCAGCCACGCAGCTGAAGTGAGCAGGAGGTTTGCTTGCTCCAGTGATGGGGGAAGCCAAGGTTCCCCGCATGCTGCGGCCTGCTCTGAGCTCCAAAAGCAACAAAGTTTCAATTATAGAAGCTAAACAAACCCCAGATACCTGCTTTCAGCCAGCCGTGGCCTCAGAGCTGGGAGTGCCAGTGACAGCAACAGAGTTTCAATTATAGAAGGTAAATAAATCCCAGAATAAAAAAAAGAAGAAAAAGGAGAGGCTGGGAGCTTCACTCGCAGGCCAGCCTGAAAATAGCCCTCAGCCCCTCACCCAGACTGGCCAGGCACCCCTGTGGGGACCCCCACCCTAAAGAGGGTGTGGCCAGCCTGGAAACAGCCATCAGCCCCTCATCCAGGCTGGCCAGGCACCCCAGTGGGGACCCCCACCCTGAAGGGGGTGTGACCAGCTGCAGACAGCCATCAGCCCCTCACCCAGGCTGGCCAGGCACCCAAGCGGGACCCCCACCCTGATCCGGACACCCTTCAGGACAAACCAGCCAACCCCCACCTGTGCACCAGGCCTTTGTCCTATATAGTAAAAGGGTAATATGCAAACTGACCCTAACAGCAGAAAGACTGGGAATGACTGGTCCCTATGACACACACTGACTACCAGGTGGCTGACGCTCAATGCAGGAGCTGCCCTCTGGTGGTCAGTGCACTCCCACAGGGGGAGCTCTGCTTAGCCACAAGCCAGGCTGATGGCTGCCAGTACAGCAGTGGTGGTGGGAGCCTCTCCTGTCTCCTCAGCAGCGCTAAGGATGTCCGACTGTAGCTTAGGTCTGCTCCCCGCTGGCAAGTGGACATGTCCCGAGGGCTGCCGGGCTGCCAGAGAGATGTCTGATTGCCAGCTTAGGCCCAATCCCCCAGGGAGCAGGCCTAAGCCAGCAGGTGGTAATCCCCCGAGGGGTCCCAGACTGGGAGAGGGCACAGGCCAGGCTGAGGGACACCCCCCCCCAGTGCACAAATTTTTGTGCACCGGGCCTCTACTATAGGATATAAAAGCCTAAATGACCATCCGACCGGTAGTTATGACGTGCAATGACCACCAGGGGACAGAAGTTCCAACCAGTAGTTATGACACGCACTAACCACCAGGGGGCAGGCGCTCAATGCAGGAGCTGCGGTTCTCAGGTGACACACCTGGAACCAGAGAGGAGGGAGCCCAATTGCAGACTGTGTCACCCGAGAACCACCTCACAGTCCAGGACCCCGTGGGGGGATGTCGGAGAGTCAGTTTCAGCCTGATCCCTGCAGGCCAGGCTGAGGGATCCCACCTGTGCACGAATCTGTGCACCAGGCCTCTAGTCATCAATAAAGATAACTAGGCTCCAGCTTTGTACACTTTCTGCCCCAAACTTAGAATCTGTAATTTCTCCAAAAAGTACTGGTTCTTTTTATTGAGAAATTATATTAGGGAGCACCTGTGAGCACTAAGGTTTCCTGTTGCTTTGGGGTTAGTGTTGGTATTTGTCTGTAGAAATCTTCAATAGCCAGAAGTAGGAAAACAAACTTACAAATTAGTACTGGTGTTTCCAATACAAATTCAGGAGCACAGTATTTTTGCTTAATGTCTTCTACCTTACATCTTTACCACCTTTCTTCTTTAACAGAAATGTTGGTTCTCTACAAAACCAGCAATGAAAGACTTAAAATATCACAAATATCCATTTGTTTTAAGTTGATTATACAAGAACATTCTCAGAACAACTAAACTAACACAACTACCACTGACAGTATGGTTACTGAACATAACTTAAATTTTTTCTACAGTGCTTTTCGGATATATTCTACAAAAGATATACAGACAAATTACTGTTTCAAAGTTCCTTGATATAGTTTCTTTCTGTTTAGTTCTGCCATCAACTAGATATACACATTGATTTGTTCATGTTATTTTCAATTTGTAGATTTTTTTAAATTGGTTTAATTATGGGGTATATTTATATGGTTCCAAAGTAAAATCTGTAAAAGAAGGAAGTGTATTCAATGAAGTCTAGTCTCTAGCCTTCTCCTGCACCTTATTTTTTTCTTCCTTTTACAGGAAATCATTTTTTAATGATATATCCTTCCCTTGCTTTTATAATACAAGAATAAACCCTGTGTTTTGTGTACTCACAACTGTAAACCCACTTTTGCCTCACCCCATATATTGAGAGAGCTTTATATCCTCCTTTCTTTTATAAAAATAACATATTATATGCTGTTTTCTCTACCTTGCTGTTTTTACTTAACATATCCTGGAATCATTCTATAGTAATCTTTAGACTTTTCTTCCTCCCCTACTACATCGTATCCACTGTGAGGATGTGCCACAGATTACTCACCAGGCCTTTCCTGATGGCGAGTGGATCGCTTTTACTTTTTAATTATTATAAATAATATATTAGCCTCACTTATGAATATATGTTTAAAATATCTTTTTCTAATTTATCTTTGATAGATTCCTAAAAGTAAGATTGCTGGGTCAATAGATAAATTAATGTAATTTTGTTAGATGCTGCCAAATTGCCATCCACAGAGATTGTGGCAATGCTAGGAATATTAGCAATGCATGAGGAAGTTTGCCAACAAAATATGTTGTCTGACTGTTATTTTTTGATAGTCTGTTCATGAAGAATGGTATCCCTGTGCTGTTTTACTTTGTATTTCTTTTATAAGCAAGTCAAGTGACTTGTTTGTCATTTCTTTGTTTTATTTTCCAGTTTTTCTGACCAATTCTATTTTTCATATTTTATTTTTCAGAGTCAATACAGATTTGTATGTGAAGCTATTTTGAAAGTTTATGAAGAAGGATTTGTTAGACCCTTAAAGACATCATCAAATAAATAAGAAAGCAAAAAATCTGGGATATGTGTTAGAAAACTGCTTTCCAATTATATTCACTGTGCCATAATACTGCTTGCAGGAAATGGCATCTAAACAAAAAATGAAGAACTGACAAAAACTGAAAACTTCAGCACTGTTGCACTTTATGTTTAAAAAAAAATCATTCTCAAAACCTATAATTCATGTGTTTAAAGACTATTTCATGCTTTGTCTCGAACAAATAGTGAATAACTGAATATGTTCAGGGTAACTTATGAAATTTTGTAGTGGTGCCATGCAGTCCCCTACCAGAAGAATTGCCACAAACAAGGCTCAGAATTCTCATCATCTCTGTTACACCTGTACTTTGAAAGCAAAAAGAAGTAAACATCAGGAGTCAGCTCTGGTGTTTGCAGTGATTCATGTACTTACTATATTACTTGATTACCAGATTTTATTTTTTAAATTTTAGCAATATCATTTTCAATATTAGCCAATACACTGCCTATGGATGCAGCACATCTTTCCCTACACTCCCCCTGTAGAGACCTGCTGTTCATAAGAAGAAAGGTGGAATTGCTTTTCCCAGGAAATGCTGCACATTGTCCATTTACCAGCATCTTACAGAAAGTATAAATATGAATCTACAGATTTTCTTGAATTTAATAATGTAACATATTTACCTTAAAGTTGGCTTATTCCAAATCATGTGATTTCATGTACTTGATATAAAGGAATGCATGTATTATGTCTTAACCCCGTAAGTGCCTTGAGACATCTGTGTATGTCTAATGAATAGGCACTCATTTGACCCACTAGGAGGTATGTATGTATACTGTACACTTACATTTTTATGCATTTTTAATCAGTTCACATTTGCAAATAACTTCCTGTATTGAGACTTATGCAGTCAAAGAAGGGTAAGGAAATTCTGTTTCTTACTCAGGCCCTGTATTTTGTCACAGGAAGCAAAGGTAATTAGTGTTCTTCTGAGTGAGAGCTCTGCTGCTATGGAATTGTTTAAATCTGCACATTCCGTTCCTGAAAGACAGGGTTACAGGTTAGCAGCTCAAGTTAAAAGATGCTTTATTCTCCAAATTTATATTTATTTTATCCCTTGCTTTACAAATGTCATCTAATATGCACATTAAAGTTAAACATACTGATACTCTAAGCTAGAGTTAGACCAGTTAGTTGTGGCTTATTACTAATGGAATTATTACTCTTCAGCATTCATTTCAGTTCATACCACATTTTGTTCACACTAGTCTATTAGTCAGGATACTTCAAACAAGGAATGAAACATTGTTGACTTGTTTCAAAGTATAATCCCTCAGTAACTGAAATGAAATGAAATCCCTCAATAACTGAAATGAGGGTTTTTCTGGTCATTTTTGTATACCGTTAAGTTACTCCAATTTACATGTACTTATGAGGTTATAAGCATGTTACTTCATGGAGACTGTTGGCTGTCCTGCCTGATGGAGGATCTGATGCCCTTTAAGGACTTGAATATTTTCCTTTTCAGGTTTTTTTATTTTAATTTTTAAGTCTACAGGGATATAGAACTTTAAAATTGCCCTGTTTTAATATAAGTGGAAATTTGCTCACCTATTGAAATGTTATAATTACACAATTATTTTATATGGATTATTGTTGAAATTTACTTTTACTGGTGTTTTCTGAATATTTCAGAATAGTATTGATAAAATTTAGGGTTGAATGGTGGATATTTTGGAATGCCATTTAGTATGAGGAGGGAAATGTACATTTTAAAATCTTCAGTATAATCTAAATGATGTTCTTTCAGATAGTCAAAATCCATAGTAATCAATTTTAGGAAGTTAAGTCCTAATCATTAATAGCCAAGATACCAAATAAATTATTATTAAAATATTTTAAGTTTTCTAAAAAGAATAGTAAACATAGCCAGTATGTCTAAGAGAAATTCTCTTATCTATTTCTGAATTTCATAATCAAGACAGTATAAGAGTAAATAAGCTGTAGTTTTATTTGAACATTCCATTCTCTGCCAACAGATAAATGTAATATAGGCTGCTCTATGACATGATGACCAGCTGAAAAGTGAAATCATGTTCAGGTCTACATAATTAAAAACTGGGAAGTTTTTCACATGAATTAAAAAGAAAATTGGTCTGTTCTATGTGGATAGAAGATGATAACCACAGATTTAAAAACAAAAGATACAGTTGTATAGAGATAAACAGATAAGTGACATGGTTGGCATGTTCTTTAGGGCTTAATGTTTACACTTCTGAGATTAGCTAATAATTGTTGGCAGTGAGCACTGCTGCCTTTTTTAACCGTTAAGGCCAGTCTGTAAATCCCACATATATCAATTGTTCATCTGAGAGGTGTTCTCGGTCAGTATTGTTATGTAAAAAAGGTTCTTCTTTAAAGGCATATTTATTGGGGTCTTAAATTTAAAAATATGCTAATTATGCTTCCCTGTTCACTCAACAGATAAGACATTATCCATTACACCTAAGAATTTTTTAACCTGTTTATTGATCTATGTAGGGTTCTAGAATTATCCTAGCTTTGGTACACCAAGTAGGTCTAGATTTCACTCATATCATGTAACATCAAGTGATAAAAATGCCAGATTACTTATATCTAAACTACTCTCCCCTTCCACTCCCCACCCCACCCCCCCACCCCCAATTAATCAACATTGACTGTTACTCTCACAAGTGGAAATAGTTATTGGTGAACCTCTCTGATTTATATGATGGTTTTACGATGTTCATTTCAAATGTATGTTTGAGCATCTGATTTGTGTCAGCACTCTGTACACAGGAATATTTTGGAATAGACTTTACATTCACAAAAAGAATTGGTAGTATTTGTTAAACCAGTGCACTCATTCAAAATAGACGCAGAGTAACAGCATCTATTTTTATTTCTTTTGTGTGGCCTCCTAGTAAAAGTAAGAGATGGGGAAAGGGTTGGTCATTTTGAAGAGTAAAGAGAAAATGTATACTGATATATAAAAACTGGCTTCAAATGTTTAAAGGTATGTTAAGTCATTAAGACAATTGCTTGAAGGTTTCAAGTACTAATATTACACATAAGATACTTTTGTGTGTTTCACAAAAGCTAATGCTAAGAGAGGTAAAGGATTATTTTAACCATATAGTTGTTTATAATTTGTTGGCAGATCTGATCAGATCTAATCAGGTATTTGAGCAAAAGCCTCCTGTTTCCACAGGCAGTACCATGTACAACATTAGAGCTAAAAGGAACCTGAAAGACTTTTATCTAATTTCACTCTGTTATTTTAGGCATCATGTGTGATTATCATAAATTCTTATGAATTTTAGGATTTCAGCGCAAGAATTCTATTCAGGCAGTGATTTCACTTTGATGTTACTTAGTTTAGAAATAAGTAGACTTTTCAAAGTGATCCTCAGTGGGACCTGATTCAGTTTGCTAGCCATGCTTTCTTGACAGATCATAAGCTTTTGTAAGGTGTATATGTGCGGTGCAAAAACATTCTAAAATGCAAATTAGAAGGCTAATTTTTAAAAGCACTTAAAACATAAAACTAAGATTTAGAATATATGTCCACTTGCAATCAAATAATTTATGTGCATAATGTGAACATGTAGTAGCATTACTTGTTTTATAATCTTATCAGGAAGGGAGAAGAAGGAAACAAGAATTTTTAACAGTGTTCTATTTAATATCTGTGTTTTGAATGTTGAAAATATTCTGACGGTAAGGTTGCCAAAGTAGGTTTGAATTCATAAAAATTATTTATACGACAATAATGTGGGGTATGTTTACATCTCTTTTATTTTGTTGTAATTATTTTGTAGTTTAGGTGAATTTTCATTTAAGTCCCTTAGAGTTACACATTATGGTAAATATTTGTTGGAATAAACATCTCTTAATAACATGACAAGACCAAGATAAATTATGCCACAGTTTGCTTTTATGTAATTGCCACATCAACAAAGTGACTCTATTAGGACTGCTTACTCGCCACGTTTGCTTCAACTATCCCACCACTGTTCTTGCAGCATTTTTTGTGTGTGTGTGTGTTGTTTCCTCCAAGTAAAAGAGCTATGTTACTTGAAACCCACTGGATTAATTGAGTCAAATATCAGAATTTCTGATCCATTGGCAAAAATTTATTGGTGCCTCAGTGCGATCACAACACAAGTTGTAGCAACCCTTTTGTGAAATTCTTTGAGAGTTATATAGAAACACATTTACATAATAAAACATTTTAGGACTAACTGCTAATAGATAATTTCAGCAATTTTATAAAGAACCCATGAAATGAATCTCTAAATTGAATTTGGGGGATTCAACTTTCTTTACAATGTCTATAACTATCATCAACAATTTTTTATTGTATACAGATTTCATTCTTAGTAGCAATTACAATAAGCCTTTCAATGTTATCAAAAACAAGCCCTATTTCAGTCAGAAATTAGACATTTTATTTCCAAAATCGTGGTGAAAATACCAATTTTATTCCTGTTTCCTATCTAAATTTGCTGCTATTTATTTGTATGTTTTCTACGGCAGTTTCCTGTTGATTTCTAAAGTTTAATATTCATTGTTTTCATTTTAGTAATGCAAGGTAAATGGGCAGCCAGAAGTAGTATCTGCTGGGGTGCAATTCATCAACACTGGCTAGATATGGTTCATTGCATAAATAATAAACTGATCTTTTTTAAATTTACAAAGGGAAAGGTATTAGTAGTAGTTCAAGTTAAAAGCTACAATTTTAGGAAGAAATCCTAATGTTTAACTTCCTGAAACATTTCAAAATTTCAAATACAGGAATGAAAACGTTTTAAAACCTTGTTGTGCTCATAGAAGTTTTAGTTAAATACTGTCGAATTTTTCTATTGTGGTGTAAATGATATAGAAAATATTTTTCTATGGGCAAAAGATTGAAACCTCTTTTACTTCGTTGTTTAAAAAGGATAAAATGATACTTGTCTTTCATGCTGTAAAGAAAATGAATGTATCTTTCAATGTTATGAGAATTATGACTTGATTATGGGGATACTCTTTGGTTTAAAAGTCAGTGAGATTAAAAAGGAAAGGAAGCGTGTATTCCACTTCATTATAGAAAATGCAATCTTAGAAGAAAATGTAATTTCATTATAAAGAAGAGCAATCATTGCCCTAGCCAGTTTGGCGCAGTGGATAGAGTGTTGGCCTGAGGACCAAAAGTTCCCGGGTTTGATTCTGGTCCAGGCTCCTCCCCCAACCCTGGCCCTGGTAAAGGGCTCCTGCAGAAGGCAGCCAATCGATGTGTTTCTCTCACATCGATGTTTCTCTCTGTCTTTCCCTCTCTCTTCCACTCTCCCTAAAAATCAATGGAAAAATATCCTTGGGTGAAGATTAATAAAATAAATAAGAGCAGTCATTGTTGAGGCATATTTCAAATTAATTTCACATTCTTTTTCATTTTGCTTTGTTTTAGCTCTAGAATAGGAACTTCCAAGAAAATGTTTGCATACTGTTTTTAAATGTAATACAACTGAATTCTAGATTTCTCTAGTGTGGAAGGTTCTTTTTGTGTGACGGAAAACATTGTGCTGACATGTTTACCATGAAGGAAAGTTCTCAGGCTTTGTCACTACTACAGCCACAAATGAGGACATCATTGTGAGAGTGTGACTTTGATGAAGCCAGGAAACCATGCCTAAGATTTAGCACGGTAAATATGTGCAGAGGCCCCTGACAAAGAGTTTTGCCTTTTTATTCTCAGTATCAGACAGATAAGCCCAACTCTGACTTGTCTTATATGTTTAAGGGTTTATTAAGTCAACTGAGCAAAATACAACCAAACCCTCCCTCTCCCCCTGTATTTTAAGCCAACATCTATAAGTATGATTCATTTATTCAACAATTTGTTTAAAGGGTAGTATTTACTATTTGGTACTTACTACCTTGATGCATTCTATTGACACCTTGCTTCCACCCTCCGACTTGTAAAAAATCATTACTTTCCCTTAAGCAGTTGAGTCTTTGTGAAGTACCCTGAGCAACTGTGAGGTGATCTCTTCCCTCATTAACTTTTGTTAACAGTTCTTAAAAGATTAGTCTCGGGGCCCATTAACCCTGGGAGTTTCCAAATTGAGCAGGATTATTTGTGATAACCTTAAAATGCCACATTGCTAAGTGAAATTGTCACCATAAAGCCATCAAAGGGGCTCACCCCTGCTTGCAATCTTAGACTCAGATAGGTACTGATTTGTGGTTTCCCCAAATCCACTGTAGTCACAGTTGAGTCCATTTTACCTTATACTTAAAAGAAGCTTTTAGTTTTTACTTTGAATTGTAGTGTTCCAATTATTTGCCTTTCTGGGCAAGAAAATTTCAACCCAATTCTGGGATTCTCTTGACCCCACCTTTTCCCATCTTTAGTGAGCTGGCAAGATTTTTCATGTTTTCTTGTATTCTGTAGAGTAGGCCAGATTTTAATGCTGAAATTGATTCCTTGAATTTCAAATAGTAGCACTTTATTTCATGCTTACTACTGACTTAATTTATACATTTAAAAATATCCTAGGAGTCTTGTAAATATGAAAAAGATGTAATGGGTTAGTATGTAGAGGTCATTGGATTAGACCCAAATTTAAATGCTTTACAATGATCTCTCTCTTTTTTTAATGATCTCTTGATCATTTGATATTTGAAAGTTAACTGTGTGATATTTAGCTTTTCCACTTTTCTGTAATTTATTTAGTACAATAGAGGCTGCCCACTTGACTATGTTGCTGGACGCTGAGTTCTCGCAGCTAGCTTCAGCCAAGTTCGGTTTACGATAACCATTTCTGCTTTGTATTTTTGTACATTACATAAATATTTGGAAATCCATTTGTTTAGATTTGTGTTGTGCTTAGGGGTTAAGTCAATACTGCACCACAAATAAGTTGAAAGGGTAAAAACCTGACACTTCAGATACATGTCAAGGGACGGGATTTAAGAGAATAAAAACGGTTTACATTAAGCTGTTTTCATTTTCTATCATTAGAATATATGTGCTTAAGAAATTAGAACTGCCCAATTCACTGTTTCTACAGCATCATGACATTGCATTTATAATCCATTGCTGTAATCTTTTCAAATAAGAAAAGCTAGTCTTTATTTTCTACAGTGTAGGCTTAACTTTATGACAAATAGTTTACTATATATTCATTGGTGATGTTTATAATTCTATGTAGAGGGTGTTTTAATTTGGAATTTTTTTCTTGTAACAGGTGCTATATGTAAATATAAAGGGCAAAAAGTCACTTACTTAAAAGTCTAGTTTATTTACTAATTAAAATATAGTTTTGCATTTCTGCTGCCATTTCACATTTCATTGTACTGAACTTGTAGCAATGGAATTATCTCCCTAATTTTTTAAACTAACTCCTCTCCCACTTTACAAAAATATATCTCCATCAATAGGGTTTGTTCCCTAATTAAGAGGCAAAGAAGCTTAGGGTTGTTTTTTTTTTAAATGTGTAAGCTTGAATTTGGTCAACACTGGGTAATTTGAAATCACTGTGTGTCATGTAATTTACTGTATGCTTGAAAGGCCTGTGTAGTTATTTGTCTTAATACCAATGGAATTATAATCCCTACTGTTAATTCATGTAAAAGTATCTAGAATACTAGCAGCAAACAGGA